CCAAAGTTGGCGTGTGCTTTCCAGAGAGGCTATAGCCCTTCACAGTTCTTGAGAGGCTGCAGAGGTCAGCAGTGGTACAACTTACCGCAGGGAACTGAGATTGTTCTTTCCTGACATACCCTGAAAAGGGTCTCCTGTGCCACGATGTCAGAGCAGCCAGGCCAATGGCGGCTGCTGCTCTGACGCAAAGAGGGCGCCTCCAGATGTGGTGAGTTTATTACCACTTCAATCCAAACTTTATGTTGGCCAAGAGTGAATTTCCTTCCCCGTGTCAAGTATAAGTGGAGCCGTTTTGTATATATAACTGTGAGATTTGCTTCAGTGTGATGGCCTGGGAATCCGATTCAGAGGGTGAACCGGAGGAATCCCAGCCTGCACAGGAGTCCCCGCCTCCAGGGCCGGCTGAACTGGGCCAGAGCCTTGATTCTGAGGTGCCTGCACCTGTGCCGGATCCTCAGGAGCAGGCACCAGGTGAATCCACTCTGGCTCCAGAGGTGGTTGAGGACTCAGTGCCTACAGGTGAGTCTCCCCCTGGGCCCAGTAACCCTTCAGCCTCTCCTGAACTGCAGAGGCTCAGGGCAGAGAGGCGAAGGGAACTGGTCTCTCCCAGGAGGAGTGCTCGCCTTAAGGCCAGGAGAGGCGGGTCTCCTGGTGGCCGGGACCGCCCCTGGCCTCAGAGAAGATAAAGGCCAGTCAGCCCGGTCCCAGGTTGCGGGAGCAACGTCGTTGTTGAGTACCTGTTCCTGCCCAGACCCAGACCTGACCCTCCAGTGTTCCTGTCCCCGCCCGGCTTCCTGCTTCGGACCTCGCCCCACTCCTTGTGAACTGTTTCCAGGCTAGTGACCCAGGACCGGACTTTGACTACGCCAGCGGTAACCTTCCCCCCGGGACCAGCACATTCAGCTTTCGAAAACACAAATTAACATTCAGAAGGGGAAGTTTGGATAAAGTGTTTTCGCGTTAATGTTTCTGCTTTGGATTTTATAGTGTGCCCTATTTATGGGCTTTCAGCTCAGCTGCCATTTACTGTGTAATTGTTTACCATTTGAGCAGTTTTAAAAACACGACAAGATCTTCCTGACTTCATGTCCCATGGGAAGAGCCATATTTGTCTCTTGCAGCAAAAAACAAAAACGGGTGAAGAGGTCTCTGACCCATTTGAACGCTAACAAATTTGTTGTGGCATAACCTTCTGCATGTTTTTGTACATTTTGTGTGGTCTGAGGTCTCACACACTTGCATCCATACTTGTAGGCCTCAAATTGTCAACCTGGAACATCTATACAAAATTTGGAGGTTGGGCGACAACATGAGACTCATTTTGGTGTCCTACTTGCTGCACCACAATGCGTACTGGAAGCCATTTATGGTCACCTGAAAGCTTCTGGGTACCTACCCTTTACATCAGAGGTGGCTAACCTGAAGGCCATCCAGATGTTGCTGAACTACAACTCCCATCATCCTTGGCAACTGGCCATGCTGGCTGGGGCTGATGGGAGTCACAGATCCCTGTTTTTAGTGTTCAGGGAGAGTTTGAAGCAAAGGATGTGCCATTAAAATGACACTTTTCAACTTTTGGCAGATAGGAGGTCTAGGCGGAAGTAAATACAGTCATACCTTGGGTTACAGACGCTTCAGGTTGCATTTTTTCGGGTTACAGACCCACTGAAACCCGGATGTACTGGAATGGGTTACTTCTGGGTTTTGGGGGTCGCGCATGGGCAGAAGCACTATGCACATGTGAAGAAGCACCGAATTGCAGGTTGCAAACGTGCATCCTGCATGGATCATGTTCACAACCCAAGTGTCCACTGTATCATGCTCTATGGAAATATGGAATTGTCATATACAGTGGTACCTCGGGTTACATATGCTTCAGGTTACATACGCTTCAGGTTACAGACTCTGCTAACCCAGAAATAGTACCTTGGGTTAAGAACTTTGCTTCAGGATGAGAACAGAAATCGTGCAGTGGCGGCGCAGCAGCAGCTGGAGGCCCCACTAGCTAAAGTGGTGCTTCAGGTTAAAGAACAGTTTCAGGTTAAGAACGGACCTCCAGAACTAATTAAGTACTTAACCCGAGGTACCACTGTACTGAGTTATATACCATCAGTGCACTTAGCTCAGAAGTGTATATTCTGACTGGCAGTGTCTCTCCAGGGTCTGTCCATCAACTGTTCCCCAACCACTTCACCTGGAGATTTAACTCAAGACCTTTTCAGTACAACCTATTTCCACTACCAATCAGCTATTGCCCTTCCCACTTACGCAGTCAGTCAAAAAAGTATAACTAGCTGACTCTGATTTAAAGAAGCGATTCTCAGACTTGCTCTGGAACACAGTAGTGTGCTTCTGTGAAACCAAAGTACCCACACAGAGTTGAGGATGCCTGTTGCATCTCTGTGTGAAACACAGTTCTGGGCTTGAGTCCTTCCAATCTGCCAGGGGTATGTAACTGTTGCTGTATCTCTACACTGATCTAATCACACCCATTCAATCCCTTCTGATTGTGAGATGTAGGAGAATGACCCACTCCTGGTTTAGGCCACCTGATGCATCCCTGTGTGAATCACTGTTCTGGGCTTGCCCTCCTAATCACCTTCCACTTCAGCAAGCTATATCTGCTACAGTCCTGTGTGAGATGGAGCTGAATGTTTCAGTTGCTACAAGTAAATTCCTTGGCCGTGTTGGAGGCTGCCTGCCATATCTCTGCATGAGTTATTGCTCTGGGGTTGCCTCCTTGCAATCTGGAGGCACATGAAAGATTGAGAAACTTTAGTAGGTGCGAATTTCTCACATTATTCGTATTAAACCTTTTTCGGCTGCAAAATGGGAGCATGCCCCAACTATGAGATGTTTGTAAAGATAGGTTTTGAATGAACGCCAGTTCCCCTTTGGGGAAAGAACTTCCTTTTCTGCATTCCGCATGGAAGCTCTGAGTGAGCTAGCTCCACATCCTCAGACCAGAGGCAAGGTGTAAAAGTCATCCAGCGGCCATTGGCACTTATGATTCCAATTGTAATACATAGGAAGGTTGGTAAGGAAATGTGACTCAGTGCGGGAAGCTGAGCTCTGGGGTGCCTGGAAGGGTCACAGGGAAAAGACATCTGCTGAGCTCCTGGCTCTGTCTTTCCACTATTACATAATGTGCATTATAATAACAGTGATGTTTTTCAGAGAGAAAAACCAGCGGAGCAGGCTTTTCAAGTTCCACAGTTAGGCTGTCATCCCTGCTTAAAATATGTTGTTTTTCATTTCATCCACTCAGATAAAACAATGGCTATCGTGTTAAGTGAAAGGGGAGGAGTCTCTCTCTCTCTCTCTCTCTCTCTCTCTCTCTCTCACACACACACACACACACACACACAGAGAGAGAGAGAGAGAGACTGTGCCAAATATGTCAACTGTCAAATATGAAACACCATATCATGTCAGCTACCAAATACAGTGGTATCCCAGAAGTCGAATGGAATCCGTTCAGGAAGTCCATTCAACTTCCAAAATGTTCAGAAACCAAGGCACGGCTTCTGATTGGCTGCAGGAAGTTCCTGCAGCCAATTGGAAGCCGTGGAAGCTACATCGGATGTTTGGGTTCCAAAGAACATTCGCAAATCGGAACACTCACTTTCGGGTTTGCAGCTTTCGGGAGCCAAAATGTTCGAAACTCAAGGCGTTTGGGGTCCAAGGTATGGCTGTATTTTCAAACATTGGCATCAAATATTGGTTGGGAAATAGTTGATAATTGTTGGAATAGTCAGATACTATCTGGTGACACTAAAATTCACTGTTGGTGCAAGCTTGTATCGCAACTATGAGATAAATATTGGAGTTGTGAGACATGCTGCTAGCATAAAGTGAATGTTCTGAGCCATGCAGCGCTGTTTCCATTCTGCTGCAGTTCTGTTTCTGATAAAAAACTATCTTATTCATCTTGCTATCTGCTGTGGCAGAATCCATTACAGTATTATTATGTTATTCCGCACTGTTGATTTCAGTGCAAATGGGATGTACGTGTGTCCCAAATTACATACTGTTAGCAGACTGAAAACAACAGCAGGAGCAATAGCAATGGTATTTGATGGTGAAACGGCAGCTCAGCTGGTCCAACATAAGACTCTTGCTCTCTCGGTCGTGGGTCTGAGCCCTATGCTGGACAAAAGATTCCTGCATTGCAGGGAGTTGGACTTAGATGACCCCCGTGGTCCCTTTCAGCTCTACAATTCAATGGTTCTGTGACTGATTTTTATTCTAGACATGGTAAAAATAAGTGGACACCAGCAATTTCCATTTCTGTTTATGCTGGAATTCTCCAACTTCCCAAAAGGGAGTTGGGCTATTCAGAGCACCTGGAATGAGAATCACACTCTCCGGTGTTGCCTGCCACAGATGTTGTGGTTTGGGGTATGGCTGACAAGAAGTGTTTTGTTTAATATTTCAAGGTGCTGGTGTTCATTGGAACTTGGATTGCTTACCTAGGTCCTTGCTTGCTTGCAAGAGCTGCTCTGATCTTCCCACTGCTTTTTTTGTGGGGGGGAGGGGAGAAATCACGGAACACTACGTTACAGATAAATATAGAAGCAAACAACTCTGCACTTATGTATTTTCAAATAGACCCTCTTTTAGAACTGTGTGAACTTTGAGAATGCCTAACATAATTTAAATGTTACAGCTTGTGTCAGTCCCTAGGGGGAAAACATATATTGAAATATTTCTAAATGTATCTTTGGTTTGTATTATAGAAAAAAGCCATGGCCTCAGGTTGCAAAAGCACTTTAAAAGGCAGCCATCTACTAGACCAGGGTTAGCACCAGTGCTTTTTTTCTGGGGGGACGCATACCCCTAAACATTTTGTGAATCTTTGTACTTTTGTCCATTGACTGTATTTATTTCCCTTGATTTGAACTATAAAATAGTGATTTTCTTGAGTCAAAATGAGAGTACCCAGGGCCCAAGGAAATGCCAGGCACTATGCTGAGGCCACTGCTGCCAGGCAGGCCCAGATGGCCTTCACCTCCGCCTCGCCCTCCCAGGTTTTCTACAATGGGGCCAACGTGAAGCAAGTTGACGTCCCCACGATGAGTGGGTCCTTCGGCATCTTGGCCGCCCATGTCGCCACCTTGCAAGTCCTGAGGCCCGGAGTTGTGATGGTCTTTGCCGAGGACGACTCTTCCACAAAATACTTCATTAGTAGCAGCTCCATCACAGTGAACGCAGATTCTTTGGTCCAGCTGCTTGCTGAGGAAGTGGATCAGCTGGATGCTGTGACAGCCAAGTCGAACCTGGAGAAGGCCCTGTCAGAGCTGGCGTCTGCCTCTGATGAAGCGGCAAAGGCGGAAGCACAGATCAGCGTGGAAGCCAACGAGGTGATCGGGAAAGCTTTGGAGTGAGAAGGGAATACCCCTCTGCTTTCTGGAAATGACCCTGTCTCTCTTTTCCTCTGCACCTCCTTCTCTTGTCTGTGCAGGTGGTTTGGGTTAACCCGATCAATTTAGCTTTTGACTACCGTTTATACTCGAGTATAAGCCGACCCGAATATAAGCCGAGGCACCTAATATTAGCACAAAAAACTGGGAAAACTTATTGACTCGATTATAAGCCGGTTCACAATGCCACAAACCTGGTGGTGGTGGCAGCGGAGGAGGAAGAACAAGCAGGCTGCTTTCGGGCTGCTCGTTCCTCTGCCACCACCTCTGCCACTCGCAAGAGCAGGAATAGGAGCTGCAGTTAGGAGAGGCACAGCGCAGTGCAGCGCCTCTCCCAACCACGGCTCCTGTGCCTGCCCTTGAGAGAGGCAGGCGGTGGTGGTGGGACCAGTGGCAAGAAAGGGCTCCTTTTGGGCCGCTCATCCCTCCGCCGCCGCCGCCGCCTGCCTCACTCGAGTATAAGCCGAGGGGGGCTTTTTCAGCATCAAAAATGTGCTGAAAAAGTCGGCTTATACTCCAGTATATATGGTAATTAAAAACAGGGAAAAAATTGGCAAAAAAAGAAAGAGAGAGAGAGAGTACCCCTAAACATTTTTTTAAGGAAAAAAAGTACTGGTTAGCACCCTTCAGATGTTATTGGAGAGCTATTATCAGCCCTAGCCAATGTGACCAATGGTTAGGCATTATAGGAGTTGCAGCCCAACAACATCTGGAGAGAATCAAGTTTGGTGCACTGGCAGTACCAAAGTGATGTCCCTGGGGTGGAGGCCTGGGCAGTGTGTATGAAGGCCACAGGGTTGCCAAGATGACAACACTCGCCTCTCAGCCTCGCTGATGTGGTCCAAAGGAAAGCAGAGCAAAAAGTTTGGCACCAGCTTGGTTGCAGGACTTGCTGGAAGGAGGAGTACAAGACGCCATCCAACTGTTTCAGGGACTCCACTTTAGCCCTTTCTTCTCCCAAAAATATCCTGCAAGGCAGTGGAGGTTTAGGGTCAGAGTTTTCCTTCTCCTGGATGGGTTACCTGCCCAGGTTGACAAGCGCCATCTGCTCCTCACTTCCTTCTACAGCACTTGCAGAAACCACCTTGACCACTGGACCCACTATTGGTCTCGTCCGCTCAATCTGCCAGAGCCTGTCTTCACATGCAGGGGAAGTGCCTAACTCACCCAGAGTTTGAGACCCATTGGCTGCCCTCACCTGCTTTAGCCAGCCACTGTGGCATGCTGACAGCTTCTGGGAGCCACAGGTGGGATCTGAGTGCAGGGTGGGGACCAAAGATGGACAAACTACCCCAGAAGAAGCATGACGTGTCCCCCACCAGAGGAACTACCCCTCCCCTAACACCCCCCACACCCCTGCACATCTATGTATTTAAGGGCCAAACTACAGGTCATGTTAGCTATGCATTAATGCAATGGTGTTTTTAAATACACATATTGCCAGTGTGGGGAGACCCTAACATGAGGAGTAGATGGGCATTAAATCTTTGTCCTCCATGTCTACTGCTGGCATGACTGGGGGAGCTTCCATTGAAGCAAATGGGAGTCTTCCCATTCGCAAACTATAGGCGTGGGAACAAATCCGGATTGAGACCATAGTGGGGAGGAGCAGAGGTTTAAAGACACCCCCCCCAATTCATATGCTTGTGTACCAGTCCAGATTGTCACTCCCACACTGGCAATTTGCTTTGGGTAAGGCCTGTGGAGCAGTCACTTCTCGGTGGTGGCCCCCTTATTTGTGGTTGTATTCCTTGTTGACAAGTGCTACAAGGCTTGAGCACACTAGATGTTGATCAATGAGTCTCAGGCCTCTGATCATGGTAAATCAGCTTTATGCCCCAGAAGATCATTGCAGTTCTTTCACCACTATGGCAACCTGGGTTAGCTGGAAGAAGAAACCACACACGACCCAACACAGTTCATTCTTGGAAAGCAGAGCACCACTGCGGCCCTGTGTACGAAAGGGTTAAGGACTGCAGCCCGAGCTTCAGATGGCCAGGCTGATTCTTTTGTTTGTTTGTTTTCCTCCTGCAGAGCTACTGTTTTTCTAGACAGCTAAATTGCTGCCTAGCCCTCAAGGATAAATAGCCTTTCTCCTCTTCATGTGTGGTTTGGCAGCCAGATGGGATTTGCTTAAGAGTCCAAGCACTTGTTCTCAGGCCTGTGTTGTTTTTAGTTGTTTTTCTGCTCTCATCCCCTCTGCGAATTTAAAAACAAACAAAACAAAAACAGCCGAGAGGAAGAGGGAGCCTTTAATTCTATAAACAAGCAGCTATCTAGGTGATGACTGTTTCCAGATAGACTGTGCCCAATTGAAACCAGTGCTGTACTGGGGCTCCTTTTTCCTTGCCCACGTAGACCAGAAGACAACGGGTCTGGAAGCCAGGAGAAAGGAGCTCAGCCTCTTCCTCAGCCTTCCTGGCTTCTGGGAAGGATGAGGATCCAAAGCAGTGCTTGGAATGAACTAGTTTAACGCAGTTCATTGAATTCGTTCAAAAGCCTCTGAACTACAGCGGTACCTCAGGTTACATACGCTTCAGGTGACAGACTCTGCTAACCCAGAAATATTACCTCAGGTTAAGAACTTTGCTTCAGGATGAGAACAGAAATCGTGCAGCAGCAGCAGGAGGCCCCATTAGCTAAAGTGGTCTTCGGTTTAAGAACAGTTTCAGGTTAAGAACGGACCTCCAGAACGAATTAAGTTCTTAACCCGAGGTACCACTGTACACCTGAAAGCAGTTCCTGATATTGCCGAGTGAACCAAACATGAATTCAGAAGATTTGGCTGCGGAACTTTGAAAAATCCTTGTTAATCTTCAAATTCATTCTCTTAAATGTTATTTTTATCTTAACCATTTTGGTCCTTAAAGTAAGCATAATTGTGGGTGGGTGTGGGGAGAGATCTCTTACCCTGCTGTATTGTTAAATTGCCTACTCTGGGGCCAGATGGATTAATTAGGATCAGTTGCGCCTGAATCAGACCAGATCAGTAATTTGTTTGCAATGAACATGTGCTGCTCTTCTTCATTTCTTCTCAATGCAAGCTGCGGTCCTAATATCCTCTTATCATGCCTCTCCTCCCAGGACATACAATCTCCCCACCCCAATTCAGCCTCTGATGTTATCGTTGACCCTGACATATGCCCCTCATCCTACTCCTCCTCTAGTGGCTTCCTCCTGTCATTCACTCTTGACCCACAACAAGCCCCATTCCATCTGCTCTGAGCTAGAGGCTTGGGCCAGCCAGACCTAAGGAAAACCTCGTGCCCTTTCCTTCCTGCTGTCACTTTATACATCCATCCTTCCTGATTCAACGCGCTGGCCTCTTTTGCTTCCCCTCCCTTGTCTGGATTGGGATTACAATGAACTGGACCATTCCCTAGAGTGACCGCTGGACCAGATGTGACCACTTAGGCAATTTTTTCTGGCTTCTCCTAGACCACAAAACTCATTTCTGACAACATCCAGGGGCAGGTCATTTTATATCCTGCCATTCCACTAAAGAACCCAGGGTACTCTTTATTAAACAATACCCAGGATAAAGGTAAAGGTAAAGGGAACCCTGACCATTAGGTCCAGTCGTGGCTGACTCTGGGGTTGCGGCGCTCATCTCGCTTTACTGGCCGAGGGAGCCGGCATACAGCTTCCGGGTCATGCGGCCAGCATGACTAAGCCGCTTCTGGTGAACCAGAGCAGCACACGGAAACGCCATTTACCTTCCTGCTGGAGCGGTACCTATTTATCTACTTGCACTTTGACGTGCTTTTGAACTGCTAAGTTGGCAGGAGCAGGGACCGAGCAACGGGAGCTCACCCCGTCGCGGGGATTCGAACCACCGACCTGCTGATCGGCAAGTCCTAGGCTCTGTGGTTTAACCCACAGCGCCACCCACGTCCCTGATACCCAGGATACAATACACAATTCCCACTCCCAATTTAATTATTCTCAGTGACCCTGTAAGCTGTGTTCAGTTGCAAGGGAATGATCCATCCCATCTCTCAGAAACCATCACAGCTGTGGGAGGATTCAATCCCAGGTCCCTCTGGTTTAAGTTCAGTGAGCTCGCTACTACACCAGGCAAGAACACCAGATGTGCAAGGGTACAATGGTGCTTTCGAGACAAGACACTGTTCGTGAGCCCTCAGCTTTCAGGAATCTGATCTCCTCGTGCAACAGATCCCGCAATCTCATAACCTCCAACTTTATCTAAACCAAATCTTGGAAACCCCCCCTCCATGCTGCCCCCCACCTACCCTCCCCACCCATAGGAGTCAAATTCTAGGGGCTGGTGGGTCTTCAGCCCCCAAATAAAATATTTGAGGGGGCCATCCCCCCAAAAGCTGATGAGCATTCCCATTCAAGTGCTGTGTTTGCATCGTGTCATGCGATTGATGATGTGGGGCGGGGCTTACCTGCTCCCCCAGTATTTTATTCAGGTTGGCATCCCTGTGCACACCCCCTCTCGCCACTTGCGCTCCCCGCCTGTGCCACCCCCTTGCCCTCCCTGTCTTCCTCACTTGGCCTCACTCTTGTCACTCTCATCTGGTGCTCTGTTGATCAGCAGAGTCATGCCAGAACACTGGACCAGAAGGCATTTTGGCGTGATGCTGCCAACGATTGCCAGAGTGAGCGTCTGTTGGTTGGCACTCCCACCAGTGCGCCTGACCAAGAAACTGGGTGTTCCAGGATTGAAACAGAAGCCGGGGTGGGCTTCCGTGATGCCCCACTTAAAATGGGGCAGTTGGTGGGTTTTCCATCAGTTTGCCATCTGGTGGGATCTGGGTCCTCAGCCCAGTGGTGATGAGCATTGGTGTTGTCCCTGGAAGCCACCTTCCTGCCCTACCTGTGGCCGGATCTAGGGATCTGTCGGAAACAGAAGGCCAAGCCACACGGACCGTGTTCTGTTACAGCAAATCAATTCTTCGGTTGTTTCATCCCTGGAGGCTAGCCTCTGTACCTGCTGA